CTGGAAAAGTTGTCAAATTTTATCTGGAAACGTTGTCAGGGAATTTATCTCGTTGTCAGGGAATTTTATCTGGAAACCTTTTATCTGGCGAGAAATGTATGTGGAAAACGTTGTCAGGGAATTTTATCCCTGTCTTCTCCTTTTCCCCTCTCTCCTTTCCTTCTCTCTTCCTCCCTCTCTCTTCTCTGGTCCCTCTCTCTTCCCTCTCCCTCCTGCTCTCTCTTCTCCTTTGCCACTTTCCCTTCCATCTTCCCTCTTTCTCCCGTCTTTCTCTCTCTCCCCATTCACCTCTTTATTCCTTCTCCCCTCGACCATTCCCCCCCCTCTCTCCCTCCTCTCTCCTTCTCTCTCTCTCCTCCCTCTCCCCTCCTCTTCTCTCTCTTTTTTTTTTTTTTCTTCTTTTTTCGTCAGGGAAAAGAGAGCATCCTAAGAGGGGGTGGGATGGGGTGGGGGGGGTGGGGGGGCGGTGGATGCTGGCGAGAGATGTGAGATAAAAACAGGTTGGCAGATGGTGTACCGAGACTCAGGTGGCAGATGGTTTACAAACTCGTGAATGGTGATAGATGGTGATATGGTGAGGTAATGAGTTGGTGTTAATCTCATATATGGGGTGCAAGGGAAGAGTGATGATGATGATGATGGTGATAATGATTATAATGATGGTGATGATGAAAGTGATGATGATAATGATTATGATGATGGTGATGATGATGATGGTGGTGTTGACAATAACGGTGATGGTGGAAACAAGTATGTCGATGATGATGGTGATGATGATGGGAGATTGATTATGTGATGGTGATGATGATGATGATGATGTGATGATGATGATAATGATTATGATGATGGTGATGATGATGATGATGATGAGGATAAGGATTATGATGATGGTGATGATAATGATTATGATGATGGTGAGGAATGATGATTATAATGATGGGTGATGAATAAATGATGGTGATGATGAAAGTGATGATGATAATGATTATGATGATGGTGATGATGATGATAATGATTATGATGATGGTGATGATGATGATAATGATTATGATGATGGTGAGCTGGTGATGATGATGATATGATTATGATGATGGTGCTGATTATATGATGATGATGGTGCTGATGGTGATAATGATTATGATGATGGTGCTGATGGTAATAATGATTATGATGATGGTGATGATGATGATAATGATTATGATGATGGTGCTGATGGTAATATGATTATGATGATGGTGATGATGAAGGTGATGATGATTATGATTATAATGATGTGATGATGATAATGGTTATGATGATGGTGATGATCATTATAATGATGGTGATGATGATGGTGATGATGATGATGATGAACACAGGGGAGGGTAAGAGAAATAACAATTTCATAATAACAGGAAATGATTGATAATAAATAAATTGAAGATAACTATGTTAATGATACTGATAACAATAATAATGATAATTGCAATAACAATAATAACTAAAAGCACCCAGAAAGCGCATGCCTCCGCCAGGGCAATAAGGTCGAAGATGCAATAAGAATAGTCACACAAAGAATAGAAAAAAAAATAAAAAATCCTGAATCCGGATCACCACCAAAATTTAATGGAATCAGAATCTATTTAAATCAATCAGAATATATATATATATATAATATATATATATATATATATATATATATATATATATTTTTTTTTTTTTTTTTTTTTTTTTTTTTTTTTTTTTTTTTTTTTTTTTTTTTTTTTTTTGTTATCTTGCAAACTAACAACAAACTATTAATAATGATAACAACAGCAACAACAGTAAATAATGAAGATAATGATAATAGCAATAATAATATCCTGCTAACCAACTAACCAAAAATCTAACCAAAGCTACCAAAGGATAATGATAATAATAATAACAATAATGGTAATAATGCTAATGATAACAGTAATGATGATGATTATAATAGAAACGATGATAATAGAAATAATGATAATGATAATAGTAATAAATGGTAATAATGATAATAATCATGATGATAGTGATGATAATGATAAAAATATAATAACAATAATAACAACTACAACAATAATGATAATGATAATAACAATAGTAACAATAATATAACAACAATAAAATGAAATAATAAATAATAATAATAATAATAATAATAATAATAATAATAATAAATAATATAATAATAATAATAATAATATAAATAATAATAATAATAATATAATATAATAATAATATAATAATAATAATAATAATAATAATAATAATAATAATAATAATAATAATAACAATAACAATTATAATAATATTAACAACAACAATAATGTTAATGATGATGATAATGATAATCATAGTAAAAATAAATTAATAATAATAATAAAGTATTGTGCGTCATTTAACAGCTGGAAGTAACAACCTGCTTCACAGCTGGTACGAGGGCGAGGAACAGATGGTGGTGAGAGCCGTGACGTAAAAATGCGAAGGTGAGAACTGCAGACGAACGAGGAAGTGACAGGTGGCCAAGGAAGATGGAATTAGCGAGAAGGAAAAGGAGGGAATAGGTGAGAATACGGAGTAGAAAATGAGCATAAAAGGGGAATGGGTAAACCGAATAAGGAATAAGAAAATTGAAGAGAAAAGATTTGGGAATTAAGATTTTAAATAAATAGATTCATAAAAATAATAGAATAAAATAGAGAATGATTGAAATAAAGATGATACATAAGAAGGATCAAAGGGAAAGAAGCGTAAATGATGATAATAATAATGATGATAATAAAAAACAATGATAATAATAACAAGAGGAAGGAGGAGGAGAAGAAGAAGAAGCAGAAAATGAAGAAGGAAAAGAAGATAATGGAGAAGTAAACATGAAGAAGAAAAAAAGGAGAGAGCAGTGACATCAGAAGAAATATGAGAAGGAAAAGCAGAAAACGAGGGAGAAGAAGAAGAAAAGGAGGGAGAAGAATAAGCAAGAAGAATAAGATATATAAAAAAAGGAGTTAGAAAACAACAAGAACAGGAAAAACAAGGAAAACAAAAGAGAAGAATTGAAGCAGAAGAAATCGGCGATAAAGAAGGAAAAAAAGAGAAAAATAGATAAGCAACAAATAAACAAAAATACCAGACAAACTCACCCTCCCTCCCTCCCACCCACCCCTCACCCCTCCAACCTCCCAATCCCCTCTCTCTCCTCACCACCCACCCCCTCTCCATCCCCCCCCCCCCCCACCCCTTCCATCCCAACCCCTCTCTCCCTCCCCCCAACCCCCACACCCCACCCCCACACACACACAAGACAAGACATCGCTTAACATTAAAATGATCGATACCCCACTAAATCTACCGCGAGTGCCATAAGGGTTAAAATGACCCCTGTGGCACCCCGCTGTTGGAACCAATTTCGCCTAACAGGACAATGAAATCCCAACATGTACCAGTTACTTAAGACCGAACATTCTCTCTCCTTCTCTCCGGTGCATAATGGATGCGCCACGTGACTCCGGTGTCAATTTGTGTCATAAGCTCTGCGCTGTGACACCCTGCTGGCACGGGACTGCACGCGGCCCCTTCGGTGACACTGGCCGGGGAATTTTATGGGTATTGGTATTATTATCATTTTTATTATCGTTGTTATTGTTGTTGTTGGTGTTGTTGTTTTTATTATTATTATTATTATTATCATTATTATTATTATTATTTATTATTATTATTATCATTATTATTATTTATTATTATTATATTATTATTATTATAACAATAATGATAATAATGATGATAATGATAATTAATAATTATCATTATTATTATATTATCATTATTACTATCATTATTATTATACTATTACTTCTATCGTTGCATTATTATTATCATAATCAATGTTATCATTATTATCATTGTTATCATTATTATTGTTATTATTATTATTATTGTTATTATCATTGTTTTATTATTATTATTATTATTATTATATTATCATATTATTATTATTATCATTATTATTATTATTATTATTATCATTATTATTATTATTATTATCATTATTATCATTATTATTGGTAATTATTAAATATTATTATTATTATTATCATTATTATTATTTATTATTATTATTAATATTATTATTATTATTATCATATTATCATATTATTATTATTATTATTATTATTGTTATTATTATTATTATTATCATTATTATTATTAATTATTATTATCATTATTATTTTTAATTATTTATCATTTATAATTATATTATTTATTATTGTTACATTATTACTGCTACCACTTATAATTTTTATTCATTATTATCATTATCATTATCATTGCTATTATTATTTTTGTTTTCATTATCATTATTATCATAATAATCTATAGTAACCTTACTATTTTTCACCATCATTGCTGTTGATATTGTCATTATATTCATTATTATTGTTATCAATATCATCATTACTATTATCATTATTGTTAATATAATTATTATTATTGATATTATCATCATTAATATTATCATTACTATTACTAGTATCACTGTTGTTGATAATACTATCATTATTATCATTATTGATATTATTACTATTATTATTATTATCATTATTATTATTACTATTATCATCATTATTATAATTATCATCATTATTACTATTGATATCGTCATCTTCATCATTATCATTGATATCATCATTATTATTATCATCATTATCGCTTTTATGATTATCATTATTATCTATATGTTGTTTGTGTTTTTTATTGTTGTTATTATTAGCAGTGGTATTACTATTGTTATTATTATCATTATGATATTATCACTATCATTATCATTGTTACCAATGATAGATAGATAGATAGATAGATGGATAGAGGAGAGAGGAGAGAGAGAGAGAGAGAGAGAGAGAGAGAGAGAGAGAGAGAGAGAGAGAGAGGAGAGAGAGAGAGAGAGAGAGAGAGAGAGAGAGAGATAGACAGACAGACAGATAGATAGATAGATAGATAGATAGAGA